TCCTCCACCACCATATTGGTCCCTTTCCATGTCTGGGATGGTAAGGATCCGAGATTCGCTCCATATCAATAATCGTAGAGATTCAGGTGTTATAGACTGAATCTGGACTCATCCGTGAACTAACAGTAGATAATTAAATACAAAATTCGTAACAATATCAAAGTGATTGGGTATGGCCGTACCCTGTTTTACAGAAACTTGATGAATAGTCTCGTAATTGTGATCTTTATCGTACCAATTTCTGTATCCTCATATCAATGTGCTTAAGAGATTAAAACCTTTTTAAAGACTTTGAGAAAAATCGTGTTATAGATTTGAAACAGTAATTTGGCATCATTCAATTTTGTTTCCAGTTTTTTATGTATGATAAAGAAGATTACGCTATGAGATTACTATGACCTTACTATGAGATTACTTTACTATGACCGGGTAATGTTTTATATATTTTGCAGAGTCATTAGGTTATTTCGAAGCAGGAGATTTGAAAAACGAGCAATGCCCTCGCCGGAACTCGATCCACAGACCTCTCGCATATGCGCCGAATATTCTGGAAATTACACCACGAAGGCAGGCTAAGAAAGCGGGAGAAATACCTTATATACTCCCCCTTTTAGAGGGCGACTGGGGATTAGGGAACCCTAGTCGCCAAGTCCTGGTGGTGGAGAATCTTCACCCACCACTGTAGAGTCATTAGGTTATATCGAAGCAGGAGACATGTAAAATGTGCTGTGCTTTCGCCGGGACTTGGAACCTCGGACCTCTCGAATACGCGCCGAGCATGCTGACCATTACACCACGAAGGCATGCTAAGAAGGTGGGATAAATACCTTATAATGTAACAGATAATTCTTGCAAACATATTCTTTAGTCTTCTTATACAAATATTATTTGGTCGCGTCACGCATTGATAAAGGAAAATAATTTTAATCTAAAGGCGGCAGAATTTTCAGAAACTTAATAAATAATAATATATAAATTTCATATTTAAAAAGAAAATAAAATTCAATTGTTTCCGAGAATAAAGAACTTCAGGCGATGGAAAAAGTAAGTTTGTTGTTAGGTGGTTGTGAGTAACTGACGTTGAAGAGACAGGGATAAAATAGCTTATTCACCCCTTTTTTCTTTAATTAAGGTTCAAGATAAACAATGTGTCAGTTATTATTTAAGAGAACTTAATAAAAAGTGGCGTTCTTTGTATTTTTTTTTTTTTTTATTTTACTCTAGAGATAAACATTAATCCACTTAACAAGATATTATGCACATCACTCAACACACATCTGTAGAACATCTTATTTTGGTAACTCTCTTTAGGTAATGCAAAAAAAATTGTAATTCATAATGTACAGAAACAATATGAGTTTAGCACACTTAAAATTAGTAATACATTGAAATTTACATTGATTGCTCACAATAATGTATTAATAATACACAAGTGCTTTTAATGGTGAATCTTTACATTATGGTACCTTGGCGAAAATTTGGCGACCAACCCTGCTACAGCAACCTGCTAGTTTTGTTTTAGACGCCATTTTGTTTTCATTTTCACGAAATAAAGGTTTTTTTTTTTTTTTTTTTTTTTTTTTTTTTTTTTTTTTCTACTCAACATTTTTTCCAACAATCTGCTAGCCGAATTACGCTTATACTACAACTTTTATGGAACAAAAATGCTTAATCATGACCAAGATTAGGTGCGAAATTGGGAGAAAGTTCAGAATCGCAAACTCTTTGCCGCGTTTTTAAGAACTGCGCATACACGGTATCCATGTACACGTTGACCTTTCACTTAAAAAAAAAACATCTCAGAATTGCACAAAAATGGCATTGCGCACACTGTTGACTTTATCTTTGTACATATCGACCTATTTTCACTTAAAACGTCAAAAGAAAATTGACAAAAATCCAATTCTTCTTACTCTTGTAAAAAGCGCCAAACAAATAAATGGACGAATCTGCACTTTAGCAGCGAAATTGTTTACAAGTGCTTATTAGCTAAAATCACGATCGGAATCTTCCGGAAAATGTTACATTACATGTCTCACGATCTCTTATTTCTCTGAGACAAAATAATTTGTGATTCGAACTGTGTACTTCTCAGATTATTGCTAAAGTCCTAGCTAGTAGCCTTTATCGCCTTACCAAAATGTCGCCAAACTACCTGTTACCATATTCTAAAGATTAGACCTTTTAATTTATTTTAAACCTCTCTTAGCACGAACTCGCTTAACTCTTTAAGGCCAGTGGTTACCTACAGTAACCGCGTTTTCTATTGAACGTCTATTCACTCGTGTGAGTGATTTTCAAGACTGATCGTTTCTAACAAGAAACATAAGCCAGTAGTTGATGCTGTAATTCGTATTCAAGAAAATAAGCATGAGCAATCGAAGACAACATGACGACGATGTGCACTTTGAAACACCAAGAAAAAGGCCTGTAAGAACAGTGTGGGAATGCCTGCAAAGTTGCACTCTGCTTGAAAAAGAAAAACTGTTTCCATTAGTACCATAGAGACTGGATTTGTGGGGATGTGTTGTGTGGGCGTGGTTACCTACAATAACCACCTTTTCTATTGAACGTCAATTACTCGTGTGAGTGGTTTTCAAGACTGATAGTTTATAAACTTCTCTTGTAGCTCACTAAATGGAAATCAAGAAACATAACCAATCAAGAAACATAAAGCCAGTAGTTGATGCAGCAATTCGTCTTCAAGAAAATAAGCATCAGCCATCGAAGACAACATCACGACGATGTGCACTTTGCAGCACTAAGAAAAAAGGCCTGTAGGAACATTGTGGGAATGGAGCACACGCAAAGTTGCACTCTGCTTGAAAGAGAAAAACTGTTTCTATAAGTACCATAGAGTCTGATTTGTAGGGATGTGTTCTGTGGGTGGTGGTTACCGACACTAACTACCAGAAGTGGTCTTTTTTCACGCGTCTTGGACAAAATATGCATAGTTGTCAGAAATAATGTCATTGTATCATCTGATATAGTAAATAAAACAAGAGGTTTTCTGAAAAAGTGCCTTTTTCTTTCCCTTATAAAAAGTTAAGACGAACACTCGGTTAACATGAACAAAACTTTGATCCCCGCAGTGATGTGTATGATATTATAAGTAGTTTTATCGGTTAGCACGAAATAACGAAATGTTTTGCACTCTATAGCATCATTAGATTTCATCATTTAACGCGAACTTTCAGGGGGTTTCATATTTTTTCCTGTTGTTTCTCCGGATACAGTCGTATTTAATTCAAACCTCACAAAATATACTGTATTCTTTACAACATAGCCAGCTTGAGTAACATGACCATTGTGTCAATGATGAGTTTTCAGAAATTCGTTAGTACAAATGTCGATGTCGCCTTGTGTGCTGTAGAGCAGGGAAGGCGATCCTTTTTCAACTAGTGTACTAGTTAAATTACGGTTTATAGTTTTCGGGTGTCCAGTGTGTTACTTGTTGTATAGCTTTTTAAAAATAGCCTTAAATAGTTTTTATTTCAAATTATCGAATTGTATTTTGTAACTCTATTTGCTGTTCATTCATAAACTTGTTTAGTTATTAACTTATTGTTTAAATATTAACTGTAATTATAAACTTCCTTGTTAGTTATTAACTTTCTTATTCTCGTTGCCATTTTTGAACTGCATACTTTTACTTTTTACTTCCTTGTACGAAGTAAACAGGAAGTATTGTAATCGCGAAAAGTTTCAGGCAGCATATTTCAACGAAAATATCCATTTTGACCGCTATCGAATGCAATTTAACGATGTTTTTGCGTGATATCTGTACGTAAGGACAGAATAAAATACTCTTTTCCTTCAAAAAAATTATAAAACTGCTTATATTAATTCTGAAGAGAATTTTTCGTGGCGTCTGTACCAACGTACGTACGTATCTCGCATAATTCAAAAACGAGTAGCCTCAGAACGTTGAAATTTTGGATACAGGACTGCTATAACATTTAGATGTGCACCTCGTATTTTGGTGGACCTCGTATTATATATATATATCCACTCTGTTACCCGGCTCAGTGATCTGAGGTTCTTTAATCTTATATGTTTGTAAATTTTACAATTTTTGCTTTAAAAAATGATGGAATTAAGTTGTTTTTATCTTCCGGTTAAAGTTTTTATGCCTTTAGTAAATCTGTATGCAATATTTTTAGAATTATCCACAATTTTAAAGTTGTTTAAGTGCCGCTAAGCCTTTTTTTTATGGCGGCCATTGATTGTTTACATTTGAAACAGCAGACTAGTGGATTTGTTGCCAATCTAGAGAAACTTAGCTTCACAACAACAAAGATAACGCCTTCATTTATTATTGCCAATTAAATCGTGCTCAATCCTTTCTGGAATTTTTTCGAGGAAATAAGTGTTTAAGATTTATTTCGTAATTTTGAATATAGATATTTTGAGTTTTTATGTATTTTTGCCTTCTCGTGAAGTGAATACTGAATTAATTGAATAGAAAAACTCAATCGTCTGTGAAAAACTCGCTTTATTATAGTATTTGAATAGAACATGTGACAACGATTAGATAATTCTATTCTTTAAATGATATAAATTTTGTTCATTATGAGTTATAATATGAACGAAATATAGTACTGTTAATTGAATCTAGCGCCAGAGTGTCGCTATGGTAAACAAATACTAGAATGAATTTTAAAGAATGCATTTATTCTCTTGTGGATTTATGCGCTGTCGGCGAAGTAGATTTAATTCAATCTAATAAGTTTAGATAAAATGCAAGAAAAAATGCGTATAATTTAATATTCCGTACAAGGAAGCCATGGGGTGTATACATCAGATTTTTTAAAAAGGGAACATTATATCTATTTTAAAAGGAAGCTTTGGTGGCTTCATATGAAACAACCTCTTGGCAGGTTTAGCATTTGGCGACGACTGCGGTTCCGATAACAGAACAGTACCATAAATGATGCTAATAAGCAGAGTAGTTATACTAATTTAGGTACACAATGAAAAAAAAGAACGTGAACAATACATACTTAATACTAGAATAACTAGTGAGTGAATTTATTTTTACAGCGTAAAATGAACATAATTTCAGTATCTGAAAACTTAAGTATTTTCGGAAATTCCTGCGTGTAATGCTGCTTCCAGTAGAATTTCGTATTTCCTCGCATCCCACAACCAGATGCCTGACCAAACACTCGTTAAAAAGGCAGCTACAGCAGAAGAGTAATATCCAGGTCCTTCCACGAAGAATACTGTTGCAGAAGACAGAAAAGCATGATTATTTAGTTTTCTAATACGCAATTTTACCTAATTACAGCAGTTCAACAATTGCATTAAATATGATACAAATTGAATAAAATTTTAAGTAGGTTTTTAGCCCAAGACACAGAAGGGCTATTAATTTCGTTTTGGCATTTTGTAGTGTTTCACTATAAAAAGGATTTCACTTTTCAAATTGTTGCTACCAATTATTATCGCGCTGTATTATATTTAAAGAAATTAAATAATGAAGAATCTGCATAAATGCATGCGTGTTTCTGGCATTGTTATAAAACAATGGTACCACAGCCATCAAATTTTGATTAACGTACTTCTCCACCCGAATGCTGGCTTCTGGAAGCCGAAATTTGGAATCTGGAATTTACTTAATTATCTTTTTCATATTTATAGTCTGGAATTTGCTTTATTATCATTTTATATTTTAAAAAGAATGCGTCGAAACGTTTTCGTTTTTCTTTTCTTTGTCTGTATTACCTTTATCAATTATCAGATGCATTGTGTAAAAATATTTGTAATTATAAAATTATTATAATAACTTAAAGAAATATCAAAACTGCTAAAATTTTTGGCGACTCACAGTTTAAGAAACCTTGGCCTAAAGCATTAAATCAAACAGATTATAAATGTTACAGTTTTGTCCCTCTCTTAAATTTACTGTTAAAACAAGAAAGAATTACCTTGTTCTTTAGTAATTCCCAAAGCAACGTATGTCATTCCGGATGCAAATGAAATTGCTAGAAAGATTATCGAGGTAATTTTATGGAAGAGCAGAGTTGTTACGTTGTACTTCAGATGCAATTTTTGCTGCATGTAGTGGTAATTCATGTGAAAAACGACTGTGCAGCTTGCTTCTATAAAATAACATGAAGTTAGATATTTATTGATAATATTAGGAACTGAAATGCGTAAAGACAAAATAAAACGTTAAAACTAAAAACAAGTTCTTCTGCACATCTCTATTTCGAGTAACTATCTACATTACAATATCCTGTCGATTCGCCTAAACGTCTATCTCATTCCTTTTCAAAAGTCCTCCACGAAAGCATCCCTCCCTTTAGGCAGATAGCACTCGTGTGCTTTGCCATAATTAAATAATCCAATCCAATCCATTCCTTTTAAAAAAAAATCTGATGTGGACCATACATGACTTCTTTGACATATTTTTTCGCTGCACTACATTTAAACTTAATTTCTTGAATTATATTAACTTAATTAACCGATCTCTCCGGTCAAGTTGAAAATGACATCAAAAATCGCAAATTTTGAAATTAAATATCCTGGCTAAATTTTGCCGTGCGAGAGTCAAACTTCATCTCAATTTATTTTTTTCATAACGAGTATAAAACTTTTTCAGATATAAATATAGGAGCCGGGAGGTTTCGTCCAAAATTAATTTTATAAAATTTGATATATTTTCGTCATTTAAACACTTCAGTAATTAGTAGATTACTACCAGCGTTTGCGAAAATAAAGAATGAGTGCGAGTAAGAAGGATGAGTATATGTCTACATATATACCAGCACCGTTTACCCGCTATATTATATTTTGATAGATTGTATATAGTCTATTTTAGGTTTACATGCATAATTCGTGCATGTGTAATTGAAGAGTTAGGTTTGGAAGCAACTTTCCCTTGATAAGTTTGTCTGCTGCCTGCTCAACAATTATTCACTTGAGCAATTTTATTTCGTCTTAAAAATTCCTTAAAAAAATTTTTGAGATTAATTTTTTGGAATATTATATATTTTTTCATAGTTTCAGATATGGGCATTTAATCTACATATGCTCTTAGACTTTAAATGATATAGTAAATTAGTTCGCAGTAATAATTTTATTTTTTTTATTTTTGCAATTAAATTTTTTCATTAAATTTAATTTATATTAACTTTATACGAATACAGAATGTTTAAATTCAAATTTCATTCTTTGCAGCAATGGCGCAAGAGAATTATTTAAATTTAATGTAACTTTGCTATATTCTTGTGAAACAATATAGATCCATACATATCGCAATTTTTATTATTTATTAGTATCACTTTTTTTTTTTTTTTTTTTTTTTTTTTTTTTTTTTTTTTTTATTTAAAAAGCATAATTATTCCAAGTATTTCCGCGCAATATGCTGCTGAAAATTGATCATTATAGACAAGAAATAAGAAATTAAAAACTAAGTTTACCCTAGATTACATAAAAGAAGTGAAATTCAATACGGAAAAATTTGATAAAATCTTATAAATATGCAAAATAATAATTAGAGAAATGCGAAACTAAAATATTGTTGCGTTTTTCTTTTCTGACACCAGTTGTTACGTTATTTTCTTCCTTCACGTTCTAGCAGGGTTCGTAAGAATTCGGAGTGAATAATGACAAGACTACTTGATGAAGTATCGAAACACACTTTATTGGCCAGTATTGTCAGGACAGTTCCAAAACACGTTTTTACAGTCGTCGATGAACTACTATAAACACGCTGACACGATCAGCGACACAGCCTCCAGGTTATCAGGCTATCACGGTGGAAACAGCTTCACGGTGGGCAAAACACTAGAGTACAGCTCCCGACTCTGCTTGCTCGTTCTCGGAACTCCACGTACTCTCGAGACTCTCCACGCTACAACTCGCAATGCACTCGACGACTCACAGAGCACAGGTGCTGATCTTCGGTTCGGTCGTTCCGGAAGCTCAACACGCTCTCTCGACGATGCACTTACCGCGATACACTACGAGACTCTTTCGGTGCACTCGACGGCCCACTCGGCACTTTCTGCCCAGCTGTCAACTCGATCGGCTCCGCAGGTATTGACTCGCTAGACAAGACACCAACTCGATACTAACTAACGTTCCGCGTACCGGGAGGGTTTATGTAGCTTTTGGCTGGTGTCCGAGAACATTCTGGGCTAAACCGGTAAGAATTCGTTCCAGAAGGTTCTCCCTCCGTCCATGGCATATCGCCTAAAACCCCAGTCACCCTTTAAAAGGGAGATTATATAAAGTATTTCTCCCGCCTTCCTAGCGTGCCTTCGTGGTTTAGTGGCGATGCAATTTCGTGATTGCCTTGTGGATAATTGCGACACAGTGTGCAAATTGCTATGGGCACACATAATGAGGTGTGCAAACTGTTAAGGACACGGAAGTTATGAAGTATCGAAGTGGACAAGTAGTATTCAATTTAAAGAAGGAACTTAACAAAAGTGTACTTCGAATTTATCAAATTTAACTTAGAATTCAGTTTATATGAACATTGAATAGCCTGCACAACATCATATACTTTGGGCTATGGAACTTTCATTTGCCTGAACTGATGTGACTGGCTTACTCTGTGGATAACTGCAAAAATAATACGGACACACATCATTAGGTGTGTAACCGATAAGGACATGAAGTTATGACGTATTGAAGAAGACATACGTTTAAAAACTGGTTAATATATAAGTTCCACTCTCCACAACATAGATCCTATCCATGACAATGTAATCATTAATTGATCGTATATTTATTTTTCATACGGATTATTATGTAACAATTATTGTATAGATGACACTGTCAATTTAGCATTGTAATATTACTATCATTGATTCAGTGAATGGCGGTGGATGGTAGATTCTTTTCCGTCGCATGGACATATAACTTTGATTGGTGTAGAATCTTTGGTCGGAGGTCCATGAGACTGCATTTCGGTGTAGTGGCGAAGGCCAATGCTCTCATTTTTCATTTTGCCTGCTTCCAAAAAATACCTAATGTCTCTACTAGGTAATAAAGTAAAATAAATTTTGATAGAATTAGGAATATTATACTGCATTTCGCGAAATAAAATTTTAGAATGGCTGGTATGAAAATGCGCCAGCTCTTTTGGTCAAATCTTCACTGATATTTTTTTTTAATTTAAAGAACTCAAAAGGAATTCAGTGTTTCCCGATTTAAAAAAAAATGTATTCCTATCGTACGCTGCGGGAACATATCTTAACATCCGTAAAGAAATAACTAATGTAAATATAGTTATAAATTCTTCACATTTTTAAAAGAACTTGAAAATATTTACCCAGATTTAGGGACCAGAATTCCAATTGCTACTCCAAGCAAAAAAGAAAAATCCCATTGTTCCAGAAATAATGAAAAGAAAACAAGGAATCAGTCTAAAAAAAACCGATTTCATTGGTTCTCTGAAACCATATTCCATCTTTTAAAAGACCAACCTTCAAAGAAAAGAAAAAAACTCCACTGAAATAAAGAAAGGAGCAACATGTATTTGAATTCATTAACATTTCCTCTGTTTCATTAAAGTTAAGTTATAGACCCAATATTTATTCATCCATCTGGAAATATTACAAAGTTCTAAATGCACTCTTTAGCCCGACGCTATAAGTCTCAAAACGACATTTAGCCTTGAACCGCTAAAAGCGTTGAATCACTTTCCAAGTTGTTGCCATCAAATAATATCTTCTTGTATTATATTTAAATAAATTAAATACTGAAGAATCTGCATGAATGTATGCATGTTTCTCTCATTGTGAAAAACGACGGTACATTGAACCATCCAATTTTGAAAAACGTTGTGCTGCACCCAAATATGAGCACCTGGAAACCCGAATTCTGAATTTCGAATTTGTCTTATTGTCTATTTCATATTTTGTAGAACTTTAACGAATTTTTGATTAACAAACTCAATGATTTCAAAGCGAGCAATGGCAACACTGTGCGGGAAAAACATTTTAATCTCCTGCGCATGAGACTGTCTATCTGAAATTAAAGATATGCTGTTTTAAAACATTTCAGCTCAAAGGGACATTAGCTTATATACTCTCGAAACATGCATGTGCGTCTAAGAGAAAAAAATGTCTCTTGCCGTAATATAAAATCTGAAGGCTTTGAGATTTATTTTTTATTCTCGCTATATTATTTCTTTAAAAACTAGCCACTCACTATGCCAGCTGTCTAAAACAATTTCTACAAAAAAGTACGTAATCATTTTAGTAAATCCAGCTGATTTAATTTTATTAAATATTTCTAATTAGATTTCTTATGATTTTAATGCATTTTATATAAATCAATTCATTCTGAAAAGTAAGAAAATATTCTTAAGAACTGTGTTTATTACTTTTAAATCGCTTAGTGTGTTTTTCAGTAAACTTCCAGATTACATATACATTAGTATATAATAGTAGTATATAATATATTATATTAATTCTAAGGTATTAAATTAAATATCTTAGGCAATACTGAATGGCAGCACGTTCGGGCGGGGAAAATAAATATATTTTATTTCAGGCAATGGCAACACATTGCTTTCAAATAGCCGAGTTTGTTGATTAAAACTAAAAAATATACGTCTTAAATTTAACAACCTGGCGAGCTCGAGATAAAAAGGTTTTATTTGGAACAGTTTTGCTACTTCTCGCATTTAAATTACTGAGTTTATTAATAAAAAATTTCTTAAAGTTGCACAAAATATGAAATAAATAAATTAAAAAAAATTTGACTATCAGATTTCGATATTCGAGGTGCACATGTTTGGGAGGGGGTGGACTACGTGTACTAAAAATTTACTGGCTTTAGCTGTCCTTATTTTCTACCGTGGAGAAGCATACGTACAGATTCTTCATAAATTAATTTTAACAAAATAATACGCAATGATAATATTTAATGGCAACAATTTGAAATTAATAGTAATTCGCAGACAGAATTGGTACGCAGAAAAAATGAGTTTCGAGATAAAAATTTCACAATATATTACATCTGACTTATGAATTAACATTTACAAATAGTTAAAATTCGCTTACCTTATGCGTGGAATTTTTTTCTTTATTCGCAATAGGAAATATCCGAGTAAATGATAGTCCTAAAATGTATTCTGCAAAAGTATCTTTTCTGATATTGTTTAAATGACGTGTGATACATTCGATTCAAAAATTTAATATGTCTACTAAATTTTAAATAAACGTTTAGGGAAGAAACTGCCTTTAACAGTTGCACATTATCATTCCTTCATTTTCCGTTGCTATCTTGTGCAAATGTAAGAATGAATGATAACGCAAGAAAATATTTTCTTTCATCGTGCATGATACGGAATAATAAAAAAAAATCGCTCGTTAGTGTAAATTGAAAAATGCCTCAAATAAAAGTTACTAATAATATATTTTAAAATTTGAGGACCTTGTTGAAACACGAAAAAATGCCCTAAGCAATTTTTACTTCCTTGTGAGAAGTAGTGCAAGTAAAGTAATCGCGAAACATTTCGGGTATCATATTTCACCTAAGATATTCATTTTGACTGCTCTCGAATCCATCTGACCGATTTTGATAGTGACATCTGTACGTACGGACTATTCATTTTCGCGAAGGCATTGCTGTCTTCGCTTGTTGATTCGCAAGGATTACATGCTGTTGAATTTTATGGTTTAAGTGAGGAAAACATGGTATTTAATAAATAAAAGTAACACATAAAACGTTAAAAAAAACATTTGGACGTAATCTGAAAGCTTTTTTTTTTTTTTTTTTTTTTTTTTTTTTTTTTTGAACGGGGAGGGAGAGCATTCGAATACCTAACAATATACAACAATTCTATTTGCAATTCCCTTTCTCCATTACATTACAAAATATTATAAACGGATACCTTTATTGATATGCTGTTTTAGATTACAGAGCTTAAAAATGTAATTCAAAATCCTTTCCTAAAACAAATTTGTTTTAAACAATGCTATACTTAATATTACTTATTATGCTATACTTAATATTAATTCACTTTAAAAGCATTTTATTTGAAATTTAGTAGGTAACCATCTCACAGATGACCTGATTTTAAAGGTTCCATTCTGTTATAACTATAGAAAACATACTTTATTTGTTCTAAATTTACATTTCATTTATAAGTGGATTTATACATTCCTTTAATGTATCTAAATTTTCAGACACATATTCTATGAATTTATATTTCAGTATTGTGCATAAAGTAAGTTTTCACAGTAGTTTATTGACTTAAGAAAACATGCTATGCCAGCATAAAATTCTGCAATATTTCTATATTTAATATTCAAATAAATGTTTCTTAAACAATTTGTATATTTTGCAATCTTGTCTGTCAGATATTTTTTACTCTGAACTAGTACCAGAAAAATTAATTATTTACGACATATGGCACTGAAAATGGGTATAATGTCATACTCTGTATTGAAAGTTATATTTCATTACTGTACGCTACCATATTTTGTTTTCTTCAGAAAACCGTTTCTTTAGAAAACTAATAACAAAAGTACAAATTATAAAATAATTTTTGTTAGGTACTATGATTGTGGCAAGTTCTGAGGCGTTGTTTGTTAGATTAGAGATCTCTAAAGATAATGAAAGGAACAAACCATTAAAATTTGTGCTAGATGGTTTAGTTTATTTCATTATGACAAAGCACCAAGGGCTATCTAAGCCTTTGTGGAGGACTTTCTAAGGGTGAAGCTCCCAACTAAGCAGGAATTTCATAGTGTTTTTAAAGTATTGAATCTACTGAACTCATAAGGTGAGAATCAGATAATCGTGTATGTAATTCTAAAAAAAAGAATCTTTAATAACATTAACATGTGTTTCATATTGTCGAAGTGACACGAATATAATCGAACGTCCGAATATCGATAGGTCTGTTCCAATCTACACTTTATTTATGCAAGAATAAACCAGACCTTAGTAGCATAAAGCATGTCAATATTTTTCATAGCAGTCAGTAAATGTATGAATTATACTTTGGTGCAATCTAGTATATACAAACAGATCCAATGAGCCAAACGCGTTGATCTTAACAAACATATTTTTATGCTTGCTTAGAATTTCTTCTTATTTTCGGTTCAGTGTTTTAGTGTTCACTCATTTTATAAAAGTGTAATTTTAATTTTGCTAACAATTTGAACGTAGGACTCTCTTGATCTTGAGGCCCTAGCTGAAGCCTAGTCTATAGGAAAATCTCGCTCTGCATACATTGTTTGTAAAACTTCAGTCAGTTAATATTTTTCTGAGATTCATTCAGCTTACAAAATGGAGGTTGTCCATGAATGGTATAAATTGCATTATATGCAATTTGTATAACATTATTCTTAATGAAAAATAGCAAATGTAGTCCAACTGTGACCGGGTTATGAAGACCACTTTTAAATTGGTATTTTGCATTGGTTTAACACATGACATACATATGGCTTTTCCCATGTTATGCGAATGAATCTGTGAATTGGTACTTAATGTTAAGAAAATGTGTAGCAACTAAAATAAAGTTATTTGTGCAGTTGCAACAAGAACTTTTTCACATCAGGCGAATTAACTCGGTCAGTATTTAACTGCTACTAAATTACAAATGTTGTAATTCGTTTCAGGAAGATGGCGCCACTTCCTTATTCTAAACGGATTGTCTAAATAAATAACATTATATATATATTAACAGTTTTTATAATATTTTCTGAATCATCTTTAAAAAAATATTTTTAAAGAAATGGAAAGGTTTCAGATTTTAAATTACGTCCAAAGTTGAGTTTTTTTAAAGGTTTTGTGTGTGACCTTTGTTTATAAAATATGTTCTCTTTGCACTTAAACCATAAAATTCAATTCAACAGCAATATCGCAAAATAATTTTTAAATGAGCATATCTTTAGAATTTCCGATACATAGTTCCGCGCGCTGGAGATAAAAAGGTTCCCCCCCGTAGAGTGTTGCCATTGTTCGCTTTGAAATCCTTGAGTTTGTTCATCAAAAATTCGTTAAAGTTTCACAAACTATAAAATCAATATTAAAACAAATTCCAAATTTTCTATTTCTTGGTTTGAGTGAAATAGTAATTCCAGCCGGAAATCCAAATCAGAAGAAAGTCCGATGTTTTATTTTTTTAATTTAACTATTTATAATTGATATAATAGTTTATTAAAATTTAATAATTTATTGCTTTATATTTGTTTTTAGTACAGAAGTGCTCTCGACGCGTTTCCGGGATGCCCGTGGTTCGACTCCTGGCGAGGGCACTGCTCATTTTTCACTTCTCCTACTTTCAAAAAATTCCTAATGTCTTCTCTACAAAGTAATATATTTTATTTAGATTGCCTTTCTCAGAAAGCAAGACTGAAAATTAAAATAAGAATATATTCGACATAAATTTCAATTTTTTTCACTTCCTTGTACGAAGTAAAAAGGAAGTATTGTAATCGCGAAAAGTTTCCGGCAGCATAT